AAAACCACTTTTTAGATTAGACACATTAATTAGGCGGTAATTTTATTATAGAGTATCGATGAAGAAATTTCTTTTGAGTTGGGGAGGGGGGGGGGGCTCAGACGTTGTTACGCGTGGGGTGGGGCTTCGCCCCTACCCGAAGAATTGTATGCAAGAAACTCTTCACGCAAACCATTTAGATTAGACAACATTTCCTTTTTATTCAATGTTTACGCGATAATCAATGACGTCATTATATTACTGTGTGCACTCTCTGGTTTGAGATTATGTTCTACTCTATGCTAAATGTGACCGCGTCATACTTCGTCTTTCGTTTCACTGTGAGAGTTTTTATTTTCCTTGTGTTTTCTCTAGAGCGTTCTTGTCAGACAGATAGATAGATAGATAGATAGATAGATAGATAGATAGATAGATAGATAGATAGATAGATAGATAGATAGATAGATAGATAGATAGATAGATAGACAGACAGACAGCGAAACTATTATATAGAATATATAAGAATATTCGAGAAAGTTTAGGGGAGATCACTCCCGGTTTATTTGAGTTTGTATTGTGGAATTTGTTTTAAATTTTATTTAATTATTCTCCGAAAAAGGCGCCACTATCCTTACAATGGCAGTAAGAGGAGCGGCCTGTCCTGTGCTCATCCCCGCCCCTGCACACTCCCTCCCATGCACACCCCTCTCCTGCTCCCCCCCTCCACTGCTCTCCTCCTCTGCACACTCCCTCCCATGCACACCCCGTCCACTGCAACCCCCTCCCCTGCTCCCCCTCCCCTGCACACCCCCTTCCCTGCTCCCCCCTCCCATGCAAACCCCTCCCATGCAAACCCCTCCCCTGCACACCCGCTCCCCAGCTCACCCCCTCCCCTGCTCCCCTTCCCCTGAACACCCCCTCCACTGCCCACCTGGGTAGCGGTTGTTGGCGAATTCCCGAATATTCTCCAGCTCCAGTCTGGTTTCTGGTGCCCCCATCCATAGTCCACGTCTAGTACATTCGTTCTGCGGATAGCAAGTTGATAGCCAGTTGATAGCAAGTTGATAGAAAGTTGATAGCAAGTTGATAGAAAGTTGTTAGTAAGTTGATAGAAAGTTGTTAGTAAGTTGATAGAAAGTTGATAGCAAGTTGATAGCAAGTTGTTAGTAAGTTGATAGAAAGTTGATAGAAAGTTGATAGTAAGTTGATAGCAAGTTGATAGCAAGTTGTTAGTAAGTTGATAGAAAGTTGATAGAAAGTTGATAGCAAGTTGATAGAAAGTTGATAGCAAGTTGATAGCAAGTTGATAGCAAGTTGATAGCAAGTTGATAGCAAGTTGATAGCAAGTTGATAGAAAGTTGATAGCACGTTGATAGCAAGTTGATAGCAAGTTGATAGCAAGTTGATAGCAAGTTGATAGCAAGTTGATAGCAAGTTGAAAGAAAGTTGTTAGTAAGTTGATAGAAAGTTGTTAGTAAGTTGATAGAAAGTTGATAGCAAGTTGATAGCAAGTTGTTAGTAAGTTGATAGAAAGTTGATAGAAAGTTGATAGTAAGTTGATAGCAAGTTGATAGCAAGTTGTTAGTAAGTTGATAGAAAGTTGATAGAAAGTTGATAGCAAGTTGATAGAAAGTTGATAGCAAGTTGATAGCAAGTTGATAGCAAGTTGATAGCAAGTTGATAGCAAGTTGATAGCAAGTTGATAGCAAGTTGTTAGTAAGTTGATAGAAAGTTGATAGAAAGTTGATAGCAAGTTGATAGAAAGTTGATAGCAAGTTGATAGCAAGTTGATAGCAAGTTGATAGCAAGTTGATAGCAAGTTGATAGCAAGTTGATAGAAAGTTGATAGCACGTTGATAGCAAGTTGATAGCAAGTTGATAGCAAGTTGATAGCAAGTTGATAGCAAGTTGATAGCAAGTTGAAAGAAAGTTGTTAGTAAGTTGATAGAAAGTTGTTAGTAAGTTGATAGAAAGTTGATAGCAAGTTGATAGCAAGTTGTTAGTAAGTTGATAGAAAGTTGATAGAAAGTTGATAGTAAGTTGATAGCAAGTTGATAGCAAGTTGTTAGTAAGTTGATAGAAAGTTGATAGAAAGTTGATAGCAAGTTGATAGAAAGTTGATAGCAAGTTGATAGCAAGTTGATAGCAAGTTGATAGCAAGTTGATAGCAAGTTGATAGCAAGTTGATAGCAAGTTGTTAGTAAGTTGATAGAAAGTTGATAGAAAGTTGATAGCAAGTTGATAGAAAGTTGATAGAAAGTTGATAGCAAGCTGATAGCAAGTTGATAGCAAGTTGATAGCAAGTTGATAGCAAGTTGATAGAAAGTTGATAGAAGGTTGATAGAAAGTTGATAGAAAGTTGATAGCAAGTTGATAGCAAGTTGATAGCAAGTTGATAGCAAGTTGATAGAAAGTTGATAGAAAGTTGATAGCAAGTTGATAGCAAGTTGATAGCAAGTTGATAGAAAGTTGATAGAAAGTTGATAGAAAGTTGATAAAAAGTTGATAGGAAGTTGATAGCAAGTTGATAGAAAATTGATAGAAAGTTGATAGCAAGTTGATAGCAAGTTGATAGCTAATTGATAGCAAGTTGATAGCAAGTTGATAGCAAGTTGATAGAAAGTTGATAGAAAATTGATAGAAAGTTGATAGCAAGTTGATAGAAAGTTGATAGAAAGTTGATAGAAAGTTGATAGCAAGTTGTTAGTAAGTTGATAGAAAGTTGATAGACAGTTGATAGCAAGTTGATAGAAAGTTGATAGCAAGTTGATAGCAAGTTGATAGCAAGATGATAGCAAGTTGATAGCAAGTTGTTAGTAAGTTGATAGAAAGTTGATAGAAAGTTGATAGCAAGTTGATAGAAAGTTGATAGAAAGTTGATAGGAAGTTGATAGCAAGTTGATAGCAAGTTGATAGCAAGTTGATAGCAAGTTGTTAGAAAGTTCATAGAAAGTTGATAGAAAGTTGATAGCAAGTTGATAGCAAGTTGATAGCAAGTTGATAGCAAGTTGATAGAAAGTTGATAGCAATTTGATAGAAAGTTGATAGCAAGTTGATAGCAAGTTGATAGAAAGTTGATAGAAAGTTGATAGAAAGTTGATAGAAATTTGATAGAAAGTTGATAGCAAGTTGATAGCAAGTTGATAGAAAATTGATAGAAAGTTGATAGCAAGTTGATAGCAAGTTGATAGCTAATTGATAGCAAGTTGATAGCAAGTTGATAGCAAGTTGATAGAAAGTTGATAGAAAATTGATAGAAAGTTGATAGCAAGTTGATAGAAAGTTGATAGCAATTTGATAGAAAGTTGATAGCAAGTTGATAGCAAGTTGATAGAAAGTTGATAGAAAGTTGATAGAAAGTTGATAGAAAGTTGATAGAAAGTTGATAGGAAGTTGATAGGAAGTTGATAGCAAGTTGATAGAAAATTGATAGAAAGTTGATAGCAAGTTGATAGAAAGTTGATAGAAAGTTGATAGAAAGTTGATAGCAAGTTGTTAGTAAGTTGATAGAAAGTTGATAGAAAGTTGATAGCAAGTTGATAGAAAGTTGATAGAAAGTTGATAGCAAGTTGATAGCAAGTTGATAGGAAGTTGATAGCAAGTTGATAGCAAGTTGTTAGTAAGTTGATAGCAAGTTGATAGCAAGTTGATAGGAAGTTGATAGCAAGTTGATAGCAAGTTGTTAGTAAGTTGATAGAAAGTTGATAGAAAGTTGATAGCAAGTTGATAGAAAGTTGATAGAAAGTTGATAGCAAGTTGATAGCAAGTTGATAGCAACTTGCTATCAACTTGCTATCAACTTGTTAGTAAGTTGATAGAAAGTTGATAGCAAGTTGACAGAAAGTTGATAGAAAGTTGATAGCAAGTTGATAGCAAGTTGATAGCTAATTGATAGCAAGTTGATAGCAAGTTGATAGCAAGTTGATAGAAAGTTGATAGAAAATTGATAGAAAGTTGATAGCAAGTTGATAGAAAGTTGATAGAAAGTTGATAGAAAGTTGATAGCAAGTTGTTAGTAAGTTGATAGAAAGTTGATAGACAGTTGATAGCAAGTTGATAGACAGACAGACAGACAGACAGACAGACAGACAGACAGACAGACAGACAGACAGACAGACAGACAGACAGACAGACAGACAGACAGACAGACAGACAGACAGACAGACAGACAGACAGACAGACAGACAGACAGACAGGCAGGCAGGCAGGCAGGCAGGCAGGCAGGCAGGCAGGCAGGCAGACAGGCAGACAGGCAGACAGACAGACAGATAGACGGACAGAAGGATTAGGGTTAACTAGCCCAAAGTGTGTTTTTATTGTAATGACGGTAGACGTTTTAGTTTAGTTTTACCTTGGCCTGTAACCATGGTATTGCATTTAGGATGACGGTATAGCAAATCTCGTTCGCCTCTACCTGATTCTCTAATTCACAGCCTGTTTATAGAAAAAATGATTCTTGAGATTATTGTTATCAAGCCCAGTGAGTTAGGATTATTGTTATCAAGCTCAGTAGGTTAGGATTATTGTTATCAAGCTCAGTAGGTTAGGATTATTGTTATCAAGCCCAGTAGGTTAGGATTATTGTTATCAAGCTCAATAGGTTAGAATTATTGTTATCAAGCTCAGTAGGTTAGGATTATTATTATCAAGCTCAGTAGGTTAGGATTATTGTTATCAAGCTCAGTAGGTTAGGATTATTGTTATCAAGCTCAGTAGGTTAGGATTATTGTTATCAAGCTCAGTAGGTTAGGATTATTGTTATCAAGCTCAGTAGGTTAGGATTAGTGTTATCAAGCTCAGTAGGTTAGGATTATTGTTATCAAGCTCAGTAGGTTAGGATTATTGTTATCAAGCTCAGTAGGTTAGGATTATTGTTATCAAGCACAGTAGGTTAGGATTATTGTTATCAAGCTCAGTAGGTTAGGATTATTGTTATCAAGCTCAGTAGGTTAGGATTATTGTTATCAAGCACAGTAGGTTAGGATTATGTTGTTAAAGCCCAAGAGAGAAGAGCAACTTACTGCTACTAATGCAGAGTGAGAAGAATTGATCTTTACACGAGCGAACTTTGAGCCGTCCCTGTCGTGTCAACATGACACAGTCATACTCGTCCAGCACTTGTCGCGGCTCACCAACATCCCACAAGTCCTGGGCGTCAAATGGGAGGGCCTTGTACTCCCAGGTGAAGGTTCCCTCCTCGTCTTTATCTGTTGCACCTATCCACATGTCATCTGATCAAACAAGTCACACACTAACACATGTCATGTGATTAAACAAGTCACACACTAACACATGTCATGTGATTAAACAAGTCACACACTAACACCTGTCATCTGATCAAACAACTAACACATGTCATCTAATCAAACAAGTCACACACTAACACATGTCATTTAATCAAAAAAGTCACACACTAACACATGTCATCTCACCAAACAAGTCACACACTAACACATGTCATCTAATCAAACAAGTCACACACTAACACATGTCATTTAATCAAAAAAGTCACACACTAACACATGTCATCTTACCAAACAAGTCACACACTAAAACATGTCATGTGATTAAACAAGTCACACACTAACACATGTCATCTGATAAAACAACTAACACATGTCATCTAATCAAACAAGTCACACATGTCATCTACTTAAACGAGTCACAACCTATCACATGTCATCTGATCAAACAAGTCACACACTAACACCTGTCATCTGATCAAACAGGTCACACACTAACACATGTCATCTAATCAATCAACAACCACATGTCATCTTATCAAACAAGTCACACATGTCATCTGATCAAACAAGTCACACATGTCATCTGATCAAACAACTAACACATGTCATCTGATCAAACGTCACACACTAACACATGTCATTTGATTAAACAAGTCACACACTAACACATGCCATCTGATAAAACAACTAACACATGTCATCTGATCAAACAGGTCACACACTAACACCTGTCATTTGATTAAACAAGTCACACACTAACACATGCCATCTGATAAAACAACTAACACATGTCATCTAATCAAACAAGTCACACACTAACACATGCCATCTGATAAAACAACTAACACATGTCATCTGATCAAACAACTCACATACTAACACATGTCATCTGATCAAACAACTCACATACTAACACATGTCATCTAATCAAACAACTAACACATGTCATCTAATCAAACAACTAACACATGTCATCTAATCAAACAACTAACACATGTCATCTGATCAAACAGGTCACACACTAACACATGTCATCTGGTCGATATGACTGATCGACTGTATGACTGACATGTCTTGACTGATCGACTGTAGTACTTACTGATATCACATTTTAGTTTTCTCATCTCCATTAAAATTTCATCGTTGACAGGAGAGAGTAGCATATGATTCCTTACGCACAGTTTCTGAAGAAAAAAATGACATAAGAGAGACTTCCGGCACCCATAATTTTACAAGCATCACTACAAGCATCACTACAAGTATCACTACAAGCATCACTACAAGCATCACTACAAGCATCACTACAAACCTTAAATGACTAGGAAATTCCCTACCTTTCCCGCACAAGCCTTTACCCCCCCCCCCCTCTCAGCTGTTTATCCTCATCTACATTACATCCACCCAAGATTACAATTGAGCCTTTCTTTTTTTTTTTAAATAACAGCTGTGGACAGTGTTTTCACAACAAGCTTAGTCCAACATTTGTCAATGTATTTCTACAATTTTTAATCTTAATAACATTTTGTTGTTGTTGATTTAATTTATCTTTAACTAGCCGTCCCGGCCAGGCCTTGCACTGGCCTCTGTGAAAACCTATCTGTAAAGGACCATGACATGTGTGTTTAGTAATCAGCATATAACCGGCATTACCCACCCTAACTACAACCAGCCAAAAAAAAAACCGCAAACGTAACGCAAACACAAATACAAAACGCAACAAAAATATAAACACAAACGAAAATACAAACGCAAACACAAACTTAAGCACAAACAAAAACACAAATACAAAGAAAACACAAACAAAAAGCTAATGAAAACAAACCAAATCCAATCGCAAACCCAACCACAAATGAAAGCCCAACCCAAACACAAAGAAAACATAAACGTAAACATAAACCCAAAGTGTTGACAGTCAACACCGGGTCGCCAAATCGCACCATGCTGGGGCGCCTTCGGAACCGCCTGTTTCAGCTTAGTAAATAAGTCCCCCATCTTATTCATAGTCTTTTGCACTCAAACAAACGTAGGCGCCAAAGCGAACAAGCCAAATACCCCGGATTTGATTCACTTAAAGACTATAGTAACCTTTCTTATCCAATTTTGTCTTCGGTAGTCAAACTCTATACTGCTGAATGTAGTGTTAAAAACGTCTTCTTCAAAAAAGGTACGCACTATGGTGCCGTAAAAAAAGGCAAAGTTCAGCATGTTTGGTGCGACCGACATAAAACGAATTCACCTTCGTGCGCAAAAAAGACAGACAAAAACGAATGCGCAAAAAAGACACAAATAATAACCTGCGGGAATTTCCGTTCCGAATAAAGATGTATTTTGTTACTTTAATTGTCTTTGATTAAAAATAATAGTAAGAAAACTGTACGTTCAGTGTATAAAATAAATAAAAGGCAGTATTTAAAATACCTACCACGTTTCACATTATCAATCCACGTTAATTATGTAATTTTTGTCCCAATGTAATAAAAAATACACTTTTTTCTCCCGATGTAATGTTTTCTATAAAGGGGAGTACTTTGTGTTTTCCTAATTTTATCAAGAGACGTAAGGAGTGCTAAAGAACTAATTGTAAATAATCAGTGTTTTTTTTTAAAGGCGATACATTTTTAAAAAAAATTTGTTTGATGTACCTCCCAACAATTATTACAAGAAGTTTAAAAAAAGGAAAATTGTTTTACAACATCTTCAATATTATTTTTTAAAATTATGAATTAAGACGATGGGCACTTTAGACTTTGGAATCCTTGGTCCGCCCATCTGCCCATCCGCGATTACAAACATAATTGAACTTTATAATATATTAGATAATATGCCGCTATTAAAAGATTTTTGTTTGTCTGTCTGCCTGTCCTTTATGCTTTAATACAAAACTGAACCAATCGCCATGAAATACTGGGAAGTAGTTTAGAATACTTCAAACATACTTCAACTGACCGCGAAATTTCCTTCACAACCCTACACACAGAAACAAGTGATGACTGCAGTGAGAGGTTCAAGAAAACACAAACGCAGTTTCAGCTCCTTAATTTTAAAGATTGATAATTGAGTCTCGGATAACATAGTGACCTTGAACCCCAATAGTGGCCAGCTTTAGGGGTCAGCCTTAGGGGCCAGCCCTACCACACTTTACAAACATAAAACACGACTACATCCTCACAAGGCTAACGTTCCACTGTCCTACATTATTCTCAAACAAAACACGACTACATCCTCACAAGGCTAACGTTCCACTGTCCTAAATTATTCTCCCGGCCTAACCCCTGCCTGACCCCGGCAGTGTAGCGAGAGTGGGACGGGGACGGGCGCCCTAGGCTGCACATCGCTAGGTGGGACGGGGATGCATTCATATTAGGTTAAGCTGTTCCAGTTCAGGTGTTGGACGGGAGGGGGGAGGGGCGGAAAATCCACTAGCATCAACAATGGACTCAGTTATAACACCCCCCCCCATTTGTATATATTTATTCATATTATTCATATATAGGGGTCCGAAATCCCTAACTACGCCACTGCCTCTTAGTCCCACTCTTAATCCGCTAATGCCCTAAACTAACCTTAAACAAAACCCTGATCCATAAATCATCATTACCCCAGAAGCCCTTTGCCACAACTCTTACCATTAAGCCTTATACCTAAACCCTAACCCTAACCCTAAAACTACACCTAACCCCTAACCCTAGCCCTAAGATAAGCAGAATGCGTTAATAATTATTTTAACCCTTTCAGGACCACAATGATTGTACGCATAATTTCAAATATCTGTACACACATTTAATAGTAAAATTAAGTTCTTGAGATACAGCATGGGACACATGTGTCCCTAAGGGCGTCAAGGGTAAAATTATCGAAAATAGGTTGCGTTGTGAGTTATTTCAATATGTTTATTCTAAAAGTGAGCAAACGTTTGTTTGTTGTTCTGGTACATTAGAAATTGAAAATAAATTTTTGTCTGAAATGTATTGACTACACAGTTACTTCCCTTTAAAAAAATCATTAAATCGGGGGAAGAACGAATTTACTTTTTATTACTTTGTTTTGGTGTTAAGAAAAAAAATAATTACATAATTAGCGGGGACTGATTAAGTGCAATGTCGTTGGTATTTTTAATACTGCCTTTTATTTATTCTATACACTGAACATACTGTTCAATAATTATTTTTTAAAAATCAATAACATTTAATAAGCCAGGTCCTACAAATCCTATATGTTTTTTTCTTTCCGTTTACGGATAAGCTTGGAGTATTATCATTTTGTTCACTAAATTGAAACAGGCGCGTCCGCCGACGCCCCTGCACGGTTCGATTTGGCACCCTGGGCTATCATGTGAGCGCTATGCTGCATAATTTTGTTTTAAACAGTGCGATAGACTATGGATAAGAAAGGTTACTATAATCTTTAAGTGAATCAAATCCGGGCGTCCTCCGGCACCCCGACAGGGTGCTATTTTGGCGCCCCGGGCCTTCCCGTGTACGCTATGGTACCTACGTTCGCGTAAGTTAGTTCAAAAGACTATGAATAAGTTGGGTACTATAATCGTTTGCTAAGTTGAATCAGGCGGTTACGTCATGGTGCGTCCTCTGGCGCCCAGACAGGGTGCTATTTGGGGCCCCGGGCCTCCCGTGTTTGGTTTGGCGCCTACGTTCGTTAAAGTGAGTGCAAAAGACTATGAATAAGTTGGGGTACTATAGTCGTTTATTAAGCTGAAACAGGCGATTCCGCCCCGGGCTAGACTGTGAGCACTTTGCGTTTATGTTCGCGTTAGTGTTTTCTTTGTGTTTAGGTTGGGTTTGCATTAGTGGTTGCGTTTTGATTTGGTTCGTTTTCGTTCTTTCTTTTTTCTTTTTCGTTTGTGTTTTTTTCTTTGGGTTTGTGTTTGTGTTTGTGGTTGGTTTTGCGTTTGGATTTGGTTTATTTTCGTTTGCTTTTTCGTTTTTTTTTCTTTGTGTTCGTATTGGTGTTTGTGGTTATGGT